AGGGGTGTAAGTGAGCCGAGCTACTCGTGAGCTACTCGGGATCGACTCGTTAAAAGCTCGACTCGAGATCGAATTAAACGAGCCCGAGCCGAGCTCGAGCCTAAATATGAGGCTCGTTTATTAAATGAGCTCGAGCCGAGCTTCAATTAATGGGCTCGCGAGCCTAAACGAGCTTAAACGAGCCTATATATATATATATATATACACACACACACACACATACATACATACACACACACACACACACATATATATATATATATATATACACACACACACACACACATATAGAGGCTCGTTTAGGCTCGATTAGGCTCGCGAGCCCACTAAATTATTCATGAGCCGAGCTCGAGCTTCATTTTAAGGCTCGAATCGAGCTCGAGCTCGAGCTCGAGCTTCCTCAAATTAAACGAGCCGAGCTCAAGCTTTGTCAGGCTCGGGCTCGGCTCGGCTCGTTTACACCCCTAACGGCGTTATGGGCTGCCAACTCAACCATAACAAGAAGCAACACGATCCACACTGTATCCTCTAAAGATGTGATTGTAAAATAAATGAGATTTTCTAATATATGGATTAAGGGAATATAAATATATAACAAGTATTAATTAATGACAAAGATTACTATAATTAAATGTAAATTATATTAATTATAAGGAATATTATCATAATTAAATATGAAATTCATAAATAATCTTCGTAAAAATGTACTTCAAATTTAATTATGATAATATTTTTCATAATTAATATTTCTTATATGTGCTTTTAAGGTACATATTAGAAAATCTCAAAATAAATTTATCTAATTACAAATTCATAACAATAATTAATCCCTCTGAAAGTAAGGTGTTTTGTGTGGCGAGCATCAATGGTTGTATTTCGGTAGTTGTTGCATTGGCACGTCGAAGTGTTTGTAGTCAAAGTCAGTAGTGTCCACTTTGTAATATGAGTCTGGAAACAACTGATCATCTCTCGCTATATTGTGAGTTTGTCCGGACTATCCATGAGTGGATTTTCAATTGGTGTGGACTGCCATTAAGAAGTTTCACGAATATATCATATTTTGTACCTGGCGACATTGGAGAATACTTGCAATCAGAAAAAGTCAATCATGAGCACCATACTATTTTGTACTCTCTGGAATACATGGTTGGCAATGAATGAAAAAGCTTTCAAGAACAAACTCGTGAATCCAACAAAAGTAGCAAACAATATCATTTCCATTTCCTATACGTGGTGCCATCACAGAAGTTCTCATGGGTGCTGGAATAGGGTTGAGTGAAGTTGCTCGCCTTTTTCACACTTTCTTAGCTAATTTCCTGTTCTTTCGTCTTCTCTTTTTCCTGCTGTGTAATTTTTGCCATGTTTTAGTTACTTACTAATCATGACTTTTATTATTAATGATATTTGTTGTTTAAAAAAACATATATTTACATATTATTATTATTATTTTGTTAAATAAATAAAAAATTGTTACTTCTTATAACCACTCTAGTTAATTTTTAAAATAAATGATTAATTTCATTAGTCAAGTGTGAAAATTTATCAAGTTCGTCACATTTATCATTTTAGTTATCCAAATTTTTATATAAAATACATGTGGACAAGTTTATATATCTTTACAATTGTTTTATGCAGACACAAATTAATTTGTCTATAGATATATTTGATTGAATTAAAGCCCATATGAATTTCTAGGTCTTTCACTTATATATATATATATATATATATATATATATATATATTATATATATATATATATATATATATATATATATACAAAGAGAGAGAGAGGTTCAGGTGTTTAAAGTAATTATTGTGTTATTGTATGCATAAATATGGACCAATCATTTTAAAAACCTCAATAGGGATAAAATTGTAATCTTAGATTTTAATTAATTCTAGTAAGTAATTATTCAAATCATAAACCCTTTAATTTAGGCAAAATCATTTACATTTACCGCTTTAAAACCCTAGACAGAAAACATCGACCTTTAACAATCAAGCAACCCTCGGTTGCTTCTCTCCCGGTTCCGGCATAGTGTGTCAAGGGAAGAGAGGTGGGTGGTTCAATCGAGGGGATGAAGAGGCGGCAGTTGGTTCGAAGGAAGCAAGGATCATGTGCATTGCTGACACCTCTTCGGCATGGTCGCCTCCTTTTAGCTTTTACTTTTATGTCGGTTGGAGCTGGTGGGGTATGTCCGTGTTCGTTAGCATTTGGGGAGGATTAATTAGACTGTAAGGATAATCCGAAAAGAGAGAGGGTATTTGAGAGTTATTTCGGGTAGTATCACGCGGCATCTATTGTTGCTATTCTTATTGGAGCGTTATCGATCGATGCCCTACCCCTCTAATCAGATAAGTTTCTATTATATGTTCTTCTTCAATTTTGATTCTGATAAAAAGCATCCCCTTCGTGGTCTCTGATTCCAATCTTTACACACTTTACCACTTTGTATTCCATTACAACAAAATCGATTAGGCATGGACAAGCAAAATCAGCGGCGCCAGTAGGCAGCTCTGCCACTTCTTCCCTTTTTTTTAGTGAGGGGAGAACGAGATACAAGGAGGTCGATGGGTACATGTTTCTTTCTTCTTCTTCTTATTTTGACTGATTTACTGTAAACCAATGAAGTTTAATCTTCAAATGGTTTTTTTAATTTGATTTGATTTCAATACATAGAATGGATGTTTGGGTTGATTGTTTGACAGAAATCAAATAAATTTTGGATGTGTTTAGGTTTATTGTCTAATTCTTTTAAGGTGTAATATTTTTGGTGAATTGGGAATTTGTTCTGATTGTCTAATTTATACAGGAAATTGAAAGTTATTTTGATGCACACCAAGCGCTCGCTAAAATGTTTCAACTAAATGGTATTTCTTCGTTTATAGTATTCTATCAGAAAAGATTGTTTTTTATGATAATCATGAACATATTCTGTTAGAATGCTCCAAATTAATATAGTTATTGGTAAATGAATTCCAATTCTATCATAATGGAATCACGAATTCTAATTATGTTGGAATGGAATATAGATATTTTCTCACTAATTTATTCATTGGATTTGTTTCCACATAAGCTGATGTTTGAAGAACGGACTACGAAATTTGAACGACGCCTCTTAGCAACATTATTCTTTTAGAATGTATTAGTGTCTTTGTTAGATTTTGTTGTTTTTTTTCCCGATTTGAAAGCTTTTAGTTTTATTCTTTAACAATAAATGTAATTCTTAGCAATTGTTACAAATATTCTATAAGAAATAATGTAATTTTTGTTTTAATTCTTCAATTGCTGGTTCGAGAATTTGTTATTCTACAAGAAATTTTTAAAGTCGTGATCAAGAAATATGTTCAAGAATATTTTTATTATTTTATGGTTCTAGAATATTTTTACTTTTGAACATACTCAAACATATTTTGTTAGAATGTCCGAATTAAAAACCTTATAATTCGTAAAATCGGATTTTTAAAATTAATAGAATCTATGATCTTTAAAATATGCAAATTTCATTTATTAAATTAATTGACTAAAATACCCTTCTAGTTAAATTTGATGGTATTTTTCAGTTATATTTAATTCAATAATATGTATTAATCACTTTTTAAAAATAAGTAAAATGATTGGCTCACAATTTTCAATTATATATATATATATATATATATATATATATATATATATATATATATATATATATATATATATATATGTGAGCTCCAGTGAGCGGCATAACCACCACCTTCGTCCCTCACTGTCAACGCGAAATCTTCTTTCATGTTGTTAACCTACCACCAACGGAAAAACAGATCTGATAAGATTTGATGAAAACACCTTCATATCCACCATAAATCACCACCTAGTCTCAGATCTGGAGTCACGAAGTTGTTTCAACTTAACTTTACCTCTCGAAAACACAAAACATCTCGTATCTGATTCCACCTTCATCGCCATCAACTTTGTTTCCACCATCACTACCACCACAGATGTCCACCACAACCTCCTACTGTCAACATCACGTTCATATATGGTCAGATCTGGTGTAAGTGGTTCGATTTTTCTAGATCTAGTTTGTGTGGTGCTACTTCATGTATAGATATGAAACAATAGTAGTGGTACTAGTGGTCGATGGTAGTTCCACCACCTTAGATATGTTCTAACATTGCCACCTACTCCATCCATTTCTCTCTGATATCCAATGAAACACATCAGACATGTCGATTTTTGTTTTGATTATTTTGTCTTCTGTTAAGTTGTGAATTTAATGCTTTAATCTCTTATTTATTGTTTATTTTTGTTGATCATAGTTTTTCTATTGTTAAGTTGTGAATCAATGTTTATTTTCTTATTTGTTATCATATTTACATTAAATTGTTATTCACAGTTTATGTTTAATAGTTATTATATTGTGAATTGAAATTAGAATGTTTGTTATTATGTTAATGTTTTCTCAAATAATATTAATTTATCTTTTTCAAGCCGTGAATTTTGATTTTTAATATTTCAACTATTGTTTAGTTCTGTTAAAGTTAGTTTTACTTATGAATGAGTGAATTAATATGTTTTTAAATTTTGAATACTTTGAGTAAGATTCCAAAACTGTTTTATTATACTGTAAATGAGACTCCTGAAATGTTCTATTAAACTGTAAATTTGTTTGGTGCACATAATATATTTGATGAAATGTTTCAACAAAATCAATCATGTGTTTTAAGTTGTAAATACGGTGAATGAGAAACCTAAACTACTTTATTAAATTGTGAATTAAAATCTTGAAATGTAAGTTTTACTTGAGAATATGACTTTGAAATAATATTTTGTATTAAAATTTGAAATTATTATATTAAGCTATGATTGTGTTTTTAAACCACGATTTGATTGTATTAAGTTATGGATTGACCATATTAAATTTTGAATTTTTTTATTAATTCTTTGTTTGCTTTTGAAAAATAAGATGGAAGTAGCACACTACAAGAAAATGGACCTCTAGGGACGACAAATGTCGTCTCTATAGGTTCCAAAAGTCCTCCCTATAGGTTTCCGGTACGGCATGTTGTTTCTTATAGCTCTCGTCACCATAGCCCCGTCGCAATAGATCTTTTTTGCCGTCGCTATAAATTCTGTCGCAATAGGTAGCCATTAGAGACAACATGTCATCCTTTTCTGGTTCGTCGCTATACGATGATAGTCTCCATAGATAAATCTGTAGAGATGACATGTCGTCTCTATAGGTGTGTCTATAAAGACAACAAGTCGTCTCCATAGATACAGCTATGAAGACAACATATCGTCTCCATAGATAGAGATATATAGTAAATACATTTCGTCCTACAGCAACAAGTTTCGCAATTGTACCTACTAATACCTGTTCACACACCAAAATAGAGTAATTTTGAAACAATATAAATTAGTATAATCAATTAATTAAATAAGATTTTTGTTTTGCCTAGAGAGAAGAAACTTTAGTTGAACTCTGTTTTTTATCAACTTTCTTTTTGAAGTGCTTTATAGATCATGAACATAATTAAAGGATTTGCACACCGGGCATGTAATTTTCATCCTTATTGATATGCTTTGAGGATTTATTTAATGATTAATTAACCTAACCATGATTAGATTCAGGATGATGCCTTTCCAAAATCCTCTTATTCTAGCTTCATTATAAGCCTCATATGCCTACAAATGGTAGTAAATCAAACATTGACTTAAAAAGACATGATGTTAAAAACATTAAACACATATATGTTAAGATTTAAGACTATCAACCGCTTACAATCTCCCATACGGATTAGGCTTCATAGAATCAAGGTCATGCAATTTATCATGCAATGAAGAGCTTCTTTCTTTGCGTCTAGAATCTTTTGTTCTGCTTGAGTATGTGTCTAAGACACATTGAAAGGTTAGTTGTGTATTGACTATTGATATGAATTAATGTATAATCTTAATAAATTCTAAACTATAACATTTGAATAAGTTGTTATTTTGTACAAGTACCTGCATACGTGTCATAAGAACCCATATTAGGTTTGTAAACAATACATTTAATGCCCTGAAATAAAAGGAATTTGTTATCATACAAACAAAAATCAGTTACACATAAATAACTTGTAAAGTTAAACAAAATACCAAACACTAATATGGCATTTGTATAAAATGATTTTGTAAAATGATTTGGTGTAATTACCCTGCTAATGCTACCACAACAAGCCAGAACAACATGCTAATTATAATAAATCCCTTGCAAAGAAACAAAAGAAGATTGTTATGTTAACAAGTGACATTCATGAGAAATCACATGCCAAATGAATTGAAGTGTAACCTGTGATGTAGCAGTTCCAAAAAGAGAAGACTTATGGCTGCTGTAGAGTCCTCCAAGACCTTCACTTCTTATAACCTGCTGTGAAAAGACAAGGAATTGAAACTATTATGTTAATAAGTTTGAATGTAGAGGACATGATCCAGAACAACATAATCAATACAACTTATCACTAAATTCAAGGGTGTTGCAATGGATAATTGTGAATGTAAAGGGGGATATATAGTTGGTCTTTTATTAAAGTTCATGCAATTGTTTAAGTAAACAACACTTTATAACAACAAAGAGGATCCTTTCATATATCCCTCAAACAACATCTTATGGAATTTTGTATTCAAGGCAAGAAAAAATTGAATTTCTTGGCTACTTTGATAGTAATTAGGGAGGTGCATAAGGAGATATGAAGATTACAAATGAAAATTACTTCATTATTGGATTGTGATCATAGAAGGCAAAACATGTTTACGATGAAAATAAGAAGATAAACATGAAACATTTAAATAAGTGTATCACAAGACCAATAGGAAGTAGACAGAGAGAGTAAAAGGGAAGGAATAAGTACCGATTGGAGAGGATACATGATGATTTAAGCAATGATACCTCCGCCAGCTCCGGCAAGGCTATTCATGACGGTGTTCGACATTCATCTCCGTCGATGATTTCTGTAACAGCTATGAAACCATAGAAAATCACAATTCCGGTTTCAAACAGATAATTGCTAACATAGGGCCCAATTATAGTTTCTAATTGAGAATTAGTAACCTAGGTCGCCGGAGTGGGGCTTGTTATTGTTAGAATTCATAATCGGAGGTGAAAAGAAAGCCGGTAGTTGGAATCGTCGGTGTTGAAGCTAATCAGTGGTGGTCTTCGGCAACTAGCATCAGGATCAGTAGAGAGGGGAAGAAGATTTGCCGGTAGTGGGAGGTGAAAAAGTCGCCAAGGGAGAATCTTTGATCGATCGATCGAGAGAGACCGATGATTGATTATTCAGCATGTGTGAATGAAACGAATGGGGCTGTTCTAATTTTGGGCATAGAGAGTTATGGGGACGATAAGTCGTCCCTATAGCCATCCCCAAAACGACATTATGTCTTTATTTCCGTCAACGATTTAAGAAATATTTTATTTTTTATTTTTTGTTATTTATTGAAGCGATAAGTCGTCCCCATAGGTGCTTCAAGAACGCGTCAAATTCACTTTGGTTCCCGCCTAACATGTTGAGACGAGAGGTCGTCTAAAAGTCAAAATTAATTAGTCAACTCTATGGCAACAACATGTCGTCCCTATAGGGCGGCTATAGTGACGACATATGTCGTCCCTATAGATTTAGTCTCTACTGGTGCTTATTCTTGTAGTGGCATTATATACAAATCTGATTTAATCTAATTTTAGATAAACTATGTAAAATTTAAATTGTGAAAATTTGTGTAAATAAATGTTGAAAGAAACATTGACCTATATATATAACGGTGTGTGTGTATATATATATATATATATATATATATATATATATATATATATATATATATATATATATAAGCTTTAAGTTGAGAATATGATTGTGAATGTATAACTTCTGTGCATTAAACTGTAAATTTTTTAATTAAGTTGTGAGCTTTGTGTAGTGAACTATGAATTGATTGTATTACACTGTGAATTTATAATGAATTTTGTGTTAAAATATGATTAATTTATGCATGCATGTTTGTATTAATTCTTTTGTGGATATATTTACTTTTTGTGTTGTATAAATATGCAAGAATATATTAGTTTTTATAATTATTTTGCATTAAACTCTTAATTAGTAAATTAATTGGTTTATTAAATTATGAATTTAATATTTATGATATGAATCTATGATTTTATACACATGTTTGATTTGGAAGAAATGATAGTTGCGAAAGTGGCACATATAGTTGGTGGAGTTGTCTGGTAGTTAGTACTAGTGCTAGAGTTTGAGTTTCACATATTTGAATTTGCGAATTAATGTATAATAGATTGTATTCTATTGTAAATTTATTTATTAAACTAAAAATAAATTGTATCAAGTTGTATACATTATATAAATTTTGTGTTAAAATATTAATGAATGATTGCATGAAAAAATTAAACTACGTATTAGTGAAATAATATGTTTATTAAACTGTGAATATGGTATTTAAACTGTGAATATGTATTATACACAATAAATTTTATAAAGAAATCTAAAATTTAGAAAAAAAAAAAGATAAAATTGAATTTGTTAAGGCATATATTTATTTATTTATTAAAATTTTATATATATTGTAACACCTAGTTCCTGGTATGTATTTAATTAAAGATTTATTCATTTTTGTATAAAAACTCGACGAGTTGGAGGCCCCAAACTCGTCGAGTAGGAATGGTATTTGGACGCATGTTGTAAAAACTACTCGACGAGTAGGCTGGTAGGGGTGAAACCCTAATTTTGGGGTTTTGCACCCTATTTAAGCATCTTAATCCCCTCATGCTAGCCTCATTTCCAGCCTCCAAGTCCCAAACCCTAAATCCATAAACCCTAATGCATTTGTGAGCTTGTGATCCATTTTTGAGTGAAGTTTTGTGTGTGTTGAAGCTTTTGAAGGAAGGAGAAGCATGGGGATTCAAGAAGAAGCTAGTAGATCCAGAGACTCCATTTCATTCTCATCATTTCCTTGTAAGCAAGTCTCAAACTTGCTTAGTAACTTTTTAGATCTCCTTATTATCATTTTATTGGGTTTTTGGTCCAAGAAGCATGATCTTTGGGAAATGGGCGTCCCAAGTGGGTATACTTTCAAATCTAGAACCTTGAAGGGCTCTCATGGCATAAAAGGTGCAAACTTTATGGCCATTAAAGCCCCATGCAAGCTTTACAATGTCATTTTGGCCTTTTAAGCTCCAAAAGGCCATGCATGGAGAGAAAGATGGAAGCTTTACGTGTTCTTGTCGTGTTTAGGGTCCAAATCTCAGTTTATATGCCTTGGTTTAGAGTGTTAATGGCGTTTGGATCAAGATCTAGGTCTTAAAGAATTATGGTTTGAGTTAAATCTATTATGTAAGGCTATTAACGGGTAAAGTTGGAAACTTTACCCTTAAAAAGGACATTTTCAGTGTATATGTGAAGTATGAAGCTCAGATATGAAGAATAGGGGCTTAATACATTAAGATGAAGCAACAGATTGAAGAACTCGGTGAGTCTATAGAGGGACTCGACGAGTTAGAACGATTTGTCCCAATTCTGTAAAGGGCAGAACTCGACGAGTCTTATGGAGGGACTCGACGAGTTGACTTGTTTTATCATGATTCTGCTATGTAACGACCCAAATTTTCACGTCCGAAAATTTCATTTTAAAATATTACTTTAGAAAACATTAATAAATAAAAACATTGTTTGATCACACCATAACACATCGCAAACCATGTTTTAAAAAGTCAAACCATATATCCCATCAAAATATCAGAGTACAATCCCAGTGAATCTCGTAAATGCGGAAACCAGAGTGTGTGCATGATGTGCTGCTACCGCGCCGGCTCCTTCCCCAAACGGCATCACCACAAACTCATAGTGGCCATAACGTGTCCGAAACGCGGTCTTCTGCGTATCCTCCTCCCTGACCCTCATCTGATGATAACCCGAACGCAAGTCAATCTTGGAGAACCAAGATGCTCCCTGAAACTGGTCAAAGAAGTCATCAATCCTCGGGAGTGGGTAACGGTTCTTCACCGTCACCTTATTCAATTCCCGGTAATCTATACACATCCGATGCGACCCATCCTTCTTCTTCACAAATAGAATCGGGGCTCCCCAAGGCGAACTGCTCGGACGAATAAATCCCTTGTCCAGCAGCTCCTGCAGCTGCGTAGACAACTCCTGCATCTCGGGAGGGGCCAACCGATACGGTGCTTTGGCTATCGGAGCCGCAACGGGAATAAGATCAATCCTGAACTCCACCTGTCGCTCCGAAGGTATCCCAGGTAGTTCCTCCGGGAAAACATCTGCAAAATCTCGAACCACCGGGACCTCGCTCACGGTCGCCTTACCCGCCTCCCGGGTATCCATCACATACGTGACATATCCCGCGCATCCTTGCTGAAGATAGCGCCTAGCCCTCGCTGCTGAACATACAGTGGGTCCACACTGCGGCCGTTCGCCATGAATCACTAACTCTCCCCCCGCTTGGGGCCCTGACTCGCACTAGCTGCTGCGCGCAGTCTATCACCGCCCCATTAGGGCTCAACCATTTCCATGCCAATAATCACCTTGTTCCCACGCTAAGGAATGGGAACCAAGTCTACCAGGTAACGCTCCTCAAACAATCGCATAACGCAATCTCGAAACACCGTCGATGCTCGCACCGATCGATCGTCAGCAATCTCTACCTCTAACGGGCCATCTAACTCGCCTGAGGTCTCATGAAACCTCTTGCTAAGCGCAAGAGAAACGAACGATCGGGATGCACCCGAGTCGAACAATACCTGAACTGGGATGCCGTTCACATGGAACGATCCTAATACATATATATATACACGGAGCACATATCAATATCATAACAACATAAAACAAAAGATAGAAGGAAAGAATCATACCCGTCACCACATCGGGCGCGGAGCGTGCCTCCTCGGTAGTCAGCTGGAATGCTCGGCTCCTCACCACCGGAGCCTCTGCCTTGCCCTGACGGCCATCCGTGATCCGCAGGGTCGCTGGAGCTGGCGCCTTCACTGGTGCTGAAACTGTCAACATGGGGCAATTTGCCTTCTTGTGGCCCCTCTGGTTGCAGTGGAAACACAGCAACTCCGATGTCTGAATAACTGTCGCAGGAGCAGTGCAATCCCTGCTGATGTGCCCAAACTTGCGCACTTGTAGTAGCCTGACGATCCCAACCTGCATGCCCCATCGTGCAGCCTGCCGCACTTCCTGCAGCGGCTCGGTCCTGACTGGCCTTTCGGTCTCCCATCTGATCCCTTGGGCTTCTTCCCCGAAGCCCCTCCTGCCTGTCCCTCCTCAGATTTCCGTTTCCGGATGTGCTCCAAATCTATCTCCCTCTCCCTTGCCCTGGCGATCATAGAGTCCAAGGTAGGGCAAGCCGAAAAGCTAACATGCTCCCGGATGTCAGCTCGAAGCATATCGTGATAACGAGTCCTCCTTATATCCTCGTCACCAGCATACTGGGGCACCAATAAAGCCCTCTCCCGGAACTTGGCGGTGATCTCCGCCACAGTCTCCGTCGTCTGTCTCATATCCAGAAACTCCCTGGCCAGCTGCTGAAGCTCGACAGCCGGTGCAAACTCTGCCCTGAACCTGGTCACAAAGTCCGACCAGGTCATAGCCTCGATAGCTGAGGCTCCCAACGAGTCACCCACTGACTCCCACCAATCCCGGGCTCGGTCCCGTAAACACCCCGCTGCGTATCTCACCTTCGACCCCTCGGGGCAGAAGCTAGTCAGCTGTGCAGACTCGATGTCTGCAATCCATCGCCTGGCAGCAATGGGGTCCTTTACCCCATGGAAATCCGGCGCACCACTGCCCCTGAAGTCCTTGAAGGACAGTGTGCGTGACCCCGACTGGCCAGATGCCAAATCGCT